TATGGTCAACTCTGTATGGACAGAATGAAATACCTACGGGGGATGAATTTTATTATTGCCATTTGTCAGATAAATGTCTTCTATCATAATTAGTAGGATTTTGCTAAAGATAAATTACACTCTGAAATTTTGAATACAAAAACAGTAATCCACGGGAAGGTCATATCATTGACAGTAAAAGAAAAATAAATGTTTTCTTTTTTGTTTTGAATTTCAATGAGTAGAATACAATATACATATACACTATATAATAAGTTCTAACCTTAAAGTAAATCTATTTTGTCCAATTTATAATGAAAGATTGTTTCTCTTTAACCATTTAAAAACAAATTATTGGTTTGTAAGCCAATACTAATTTCTACTTTGATAATATTTGTATTTAATAACTATATTTTTTGTTTTCAGCTGTAAATTGTAGGCTAAATATTATATTCCTTCCCAAGAGCAGTATACTACTTAAGCTATTCAGACAAAGCTACATAATGAGCCCAGAATGCTGTGTGAAAAACATTTTCATGATGGTTAATTTAATGATGCAACCATGAAAAAGTTTTTAAGAACTGCAGTTCCATGTGATGTAAGTAAAATGTATAATGTATATGGTAATGCATATAGTTTTATTAAAGGATTACTCAGATATTTTACATGGGGATTCCTATATTCAGGAGTGCACTATGATGGGCTGTAATGAAGAAGATGGTAATTATTCAGATGACCATCATCTGGATCTTACTTGGATGGACAGAACACATACAGTAGTTTGAATCCTGTTAATACCTTCAACCAATTTATAATAATTGTATGGAACAAGGCATCCAAAGGATTGAAGTCTATAAAGTTAGCACAAGCCCTTATTTACATTAATAAAAGTGCAACGCTGTGCATATTATTTCAAAGAATCAATTTTTTTTTAAAAACAACAAAAAACCTTAAGAAAGTTCAGGCATCACATTCTATGAATTTGATGCCTGAACTGATTTTGTCCTAAGCCTATCAAATTTAAAGGCACAACTTGTACATGCATCAAATGGTTCTCAAATAATACATAAACACAAGACTTCTTTTTTCTTTACATTGTTATTGTACTTACTATCTTATTTTATTATATTAGGTGTAATAGTAGGTGTATTATAGAGCAAGTCTGATGAACAAGATCCATTCATTTATTTTGTATTGGTAGAAGGGTAATATAGTGCCATGAGTAGGGACTGGTTTACTATGAAAGTAATGTCAATGAATATAATGTTAATATTTATTTATTTATTTATTTATTTATTGATCCACCAACGTTTGTTTACATCAGTACATATACAAATATAAATACATAGTACACAGAAATTAATCTAGGTGTAACAAACACTTACAGGTAGATACATCATGCTTAGTAGGGATATAATAAAACTTCTAAGTACGAGCTAAGGCAAAAACAAAACAAATAAGAAAAGGATAATACAAAAAGGCAAATACATTTCTATTATAATTAGCGTTTGGCATTTAACAGTAATCGAATCTTATTGGTTGAATCTGCATTAATATCGAGTAGGTCACTGTAGTCATTGACCAGCCTGCAAAGTCTAGGGACAGGCGAATTTGATCCAAACACTGTTTTCCGGGGTGGTGGACAGAGGGGCGTTATTTTATTACGAGGAGGTCTCTTCGGTACGCGCATATTAAATTTATTCAGTAACTGAGGGCAATCGATTTCATTAGTGAAAATTTTCGAAACAAAAAATAGGTCTAACCGCTTTCTACGTTCTTCTAAGGAAATCATTCGGAAGTGTTCCAGCTGTTTATGATACGAAGGGATTTTCTTTTTTTGAAATCCCGTTTGAAGATAAGAGATACCGCAAAAATCTTTTCTGTATGCGTTCTATTTGTAGAGAATGAGTCGCATAGTGAGGCCTCCATACCACTGAACAATATTCCAAAATACTGCGTACAAGGGAGTTGTACAACAGAATCCGAACCCTGTTGTTGCGTAGCCCTTCAATATTTCTCAAAACAAACCCCAAAATTTTTGAGGCCCGGTTTACCATTTGCTCCATGTGAGGTACAAATGTCAGTTTTTTTGTCAAATAATACACCCAAATCGCGGATTTGCTCAAGTTCTTGGATATTACCACGAGCGATATGATACTGAAATGTAACGAAATTTCTCTTTCGACCATACCTTACAAAAAAACACTTTTCTGGATTCAGATACATTTCATTGTGCAAACACCATTCAACAAGCTCATCGAGATCTCTTTGAAGCATTATTGAATCATGTATTGTATTTATGACCCTAGCAATTTTCAGGTCATCTGCATACATAAAAACTTTTGAGAAATTAACAACAGTTGGTATATCATTAACAAACGAATTGAACAAGATTGGACCCAAATGAGACCCCTGCGGCACACCAGAAGCTATTTTCCGCCAGTTAGAATGAAACCCATTAACCACTACAGAGAATGTTCGACCTTCCAAGTAAGACCTTAACCATCGCAAAAAAATTCCACAAATTCCATAAGCAGACAATTTGCTTAACAATATATCATGAGGCAAACGGTCAAAAGCCTTGCTAAAATCTGTATATATAACGTCTACTTGCTTATGACAATCCAGAGCCTCTGCCAAGTTTTCTGTGAGATCTACCAAGTTGGTACACGTTGAACGAGAGGGAACAAAACCATGTTGTTGAGTGCACAAACTCTGTTTAAAATGACGCTGCACAAAAGGACAGATGAGAGATTCCAATACCTTAGCTGGTGTTGATAAAATGGAAATGGGTCTGTAGTTTGAGATGATATCATCGTCATTTGCTTTATGAATTGGAACTACTCTTGCCTTTTTCCATTCTGTCGGAAACGTTCCCGTCTGTAAAGACATATTAAATATTCTCAATAAAGGCTCAACTAAGTATGTAGCACATCTTTTTATAAACATAGGAGGAATCCCATCCGGGCCTGCACCTTTGCTTTCATCGAGATTTTTTTAGCTTCCTCAGTAGAGTATCAGAGTCTATAGTAGGTATTATTAAGCATTGATTGATATTCTCGACATACCCCAAGGTATCTCTGCTACCAGAGTTTCGAGGACTACTATTTATGTATGCAGATGCAAAGTGTGACGCAAACATTTCACAAATTTGTTTACCATCCGACGTAGTAACTAATCCATCAGTCATACTAATTGGGTAAGAACTCGTGCCACCACGTTTAGCTTTAACATATGCCCAGAAATATTTAGGATTCTTTTGAGATGTTTTTTTCCGAATCGCTAATGTATTTATTATAACAATTTTTAGCTAAACGGGTGCAACGTGAATTTAATAACTTCAACTCCAGTTCGTCCATAGGGTTTTTATATTTTTTATAACGACGCCAAAGATTGTACTTTTCATTTAAACATCGTTTTAAGTTACGATCAAACCAGGGGGGGATATCGTGACTTTTTCAATTTATGTTTAGGAACATATTTTTCTATTATAGCACCAATTGTATTATAAAATTTTCCAAGAATAGTATTGACATCACTGCTGTCCCCAAATATCTGTACCCAATCACACCCTTGGAGTTCTTTATTAATATTAAAGAAATCGGCTTTGTGGAAGTTTAATTTAAAAGTTTGGTGATTAAACGAAAGTCTTGATTCTCTGATAAATGAAATATCTACATCTAGGGGAGGGTGTAGTTGGTCAATGCTACTAAATATTGAGTGACTCTGACGTACTATGCAAGCCGGAAAATTAGACAGCACCAAGTCAAGTATTCTGTTAGATTTATTAAGTACACTGTTATGTTGTTTGAGTTCATATAAACTTAATAAATCCAACAGTGGTTGACATAAACCCGGCGCCTTATAATCATAGGAAGTATCCGCCACCAAACTCCAATCAATACATGCCAAATTAAAATCACCTAAAATACAGCAACAATCACTATTATCAAGTACAACACTACAACTTTCGATAAAGTGACTCAACATTGAGCTGTGCACTGGAGGTGGCAAATACACTGCGCAGAGAGCCACTCGACGCAAGGAATGTGATATCGGAATTTCCAGTGTGACCCAGAGGTCTTCAAGTTTAGATTCCCAACTGTACATACGTTTAGAAGGTATCCGTCTCGAAACCGCCACAAGAACACCACCACCTTCTTTTTTTGTGAATTAATTTGGCATTACTCCTATCCCTTCTATAAACCACATACCTTTCGTCGAATAGCTCACCACTTGACACGGAGTCGTTTAACCACGTTTCTGTGAGTACAATTATATCGTAATCATTACAAAGTACTCCTTGAAGAAAGCTATGTGTTTTAGTTCTCAGTCCACGTGTATTTTGGTAGTATAACTTAATTAAATCGAATTTTAAAAGAAAATTGACAATGGCATACCAGCACCGCAAAAGATATTAATCAATGTTATGAGCATCAACGAATTATTTTATGTTTTTTAACGTATCCAAGCTTTTCACCAGAATGTACTCAGTTTCCTCACTTTTCCGCAAGAATACTCTGCCATTTCGAATCCAAACAAACTTATATCCGGCTTCCTTCGCCTTCTTCCTAGCTGCAGCGTGAAGAGCCTTGTTTGTAGGAGAAAGATGTTCGCAAACAAAGACTGGTGTCCTGTCTCCTGGAAATCCTAGTGACGCAGAGTTCAGTTTACTTTCAAGCGCTTTCCCCTTATTATATTTAATAGACGCGGCGAGAAGCTCATCGCGTAACCTAGGTGAAGATAATTGCACAATTATAGATCGTGGGCGTGGAGAGCTTCGATTTAGCTTGGCAGTGCGGGTGCAGTTTAGTATGTCCATCTCTTTCAGTTGACAACCGACAGTTTTTCCAAGATCACAAACTATTTTAATGAGGTTTTCATTTCTGTTTTCCGGGACACATTGAAGCTCAATATTATTTTGTCTTGCTTGTTGCTCCATTTGATTAATTCTTCGATTAAGGTCATCGACTGTAGAGCTAAGGTTTTCCTTTGCAGCTTCCAAATCTGATATTCTGAGCTTAAAGACCTCGACCCCCTTTTTTCATTTCTTCATATTTCTCGTCAGCGAAGTTTAAAAACTTTTTAATTTCAGTAATATCTTCTTCTAACGGTTTCATTTTACTATCGATAATCATGCTGATTCTATCTTCCATCCTCGAAAAAAATTCCTCTATTTTCTTATCCATAATTTCTTCTATTGCCTCGCGTAAGTCATCTCGAGAAATGCTACTGGTCTCCTGGGTGGGTGGAGAATGTAGTGCAGGTCTTTTACTTCCTCTTACATTCGATACGTTGCGAACAGGTGTGTTGTCCTTTTTTACAGATTTAGAGATGTTACGACTACATTCAGGGCAGGTCCACCCAGTACGCATTTCGGTGCCGAACAAAGTTATATCAAGGGACACGCATGCCATATGATAATGTTTTTTACACTTTGAACATATTATAAAGTCATCGTCGTTATCCTTTTGCGGTAAACAACAACCCCACTTAGATCGTGACATCCTACTATTAATATTTTACAAATTTATAATTATAAAAATATAATTAATTATATAATTTAATTAATAATAATTTAAAAAAAAAAAACAAAAAAAAAAAATTAAAAAAAAAAAAAATACAATGAAAGAAATTTAGTCATAAAATATAAGATCAAAATATCGTCCTCCCAGAGTCAATCGCGTAGTTCTTATATGCGTGTCTCATCTGCAGTGCTTAATCTATGACACGTGATTTGAGTAACGTCACACAATGGTACAACAAACTTATGCGCGCGATACTAGTGCTTCTGCGCTTCACGCAACCGTGAGATTCGATCACAATTGTACTCTGGACACTGTGACAGTACAAATGTTCAACTGACCGCACAAATTTTCACAAAAATAATTTCTTGGAAAATATTTAGTTATTTACGATAATTTACACTTTTATTGTGGCTGTTTGTATCACTAATATATATTAACACACTTTATGCACTGAAATACTATAGCCGATGTAAGCAAATGTTAACTATAATAATTTTCAACTGAATTTTTCTGTGGAACTCGCTCAAAGAAGTGTTACTTTTCAAACGCTCAAAGAGTATTGAAAATATAATTTTATATAATATGTTTATGATACTATAATTTATTTCAGTTTTTATTTATTTCCAGACTGACAAAGTGTATTCCCATTTTATTTTGTGGAATCACAAGCTGGTCCCTCGCCAATTATTGGTGCAAAACCACAAGCAGGATCTTCAAAAAGGACAACATTAGGAGGACAACATTATATCCACTGAAGAACAACCACAAACATATCAAAGCATATCAGATAATGTTGAAACTGAAAAAGAAAGTACTCTAAATGAAAAAATTTAAAATTATATAGGGAAATTTTTTGTAATCTTATATTTAATATATTTTATAATTTTGAATTATAATTATTCTATTTATAGGCTGCATTTAATACTTAATAATATATTGCATATAATATAGAGACAATTTTTTTTTGTGTCAATTTAGGGAGATAGACAAACAATTATTATCCAAACAAAATTATTATTTGTGGATATTACACTTTGCACTTGTGTGTAGGAGCTTATTTATTTATTAACTTGTTTTTGATTAAAATATTGATATTTTGGTTCATTTAGATATTCTGTGATTTGTGATTGTGCATATTATCAATTCATTCATGATTATAAATCTTATATATTATGTTACATAAGTAATTGAAATATTGTAATCAATATTGATTTTCTTTCAAATGTCTTTATAGAAAGAAATAAGCTGCTGGAAAGATTTTGTCTTATATATGTTTTTTTAATTATAATTTGTATATTTATTTTGAATAAATGAATAGAAATTTTGTAAGTTTTTTTTTATTAGCGCAACAAAATTAAAAAAAAAATACCTTAAATAAAAAACTATCAAAAGACCACGTTCAAATTTTCTCGCCGAGACAAGTGCAGGTAGGATAGATGGAGCTAGTGGGTATATGTCACATTTCTTATATTTTGTATAATGTTGTCGTTCTTCTCTGATAGGAGTAATAGTGTTCTGTGATGTGCACGCACTCCCAGGCGGCGGCCGCCCAGCACCAAGGCGTGGGGGGCGCGCGTGATGACGCGTGCCGCACAGTGCTGCACGCGCTACAGCACGACACTAATCGCTCGATAGCAGAGTCGATTCCCGGCCACCACATCTTACCGCGCGCTATTTCTTTGGTATTAACTATTCCTAAATGACCATTATGAAGCTCTTCTAACATACATACCCCTATATATTTTTGGTATAACAATTATATGACGCCGCATAGGACAACCTTGTCAAAATCTGTTTTACAATTGAAGTACGGTTGAATGTATTTGCAACGAACTTTTCGAGGCCAACCATTACGAACATATTTAATTACTGTTTGGAACGTTTTGTCCCATGTAGTTGTATCTTGTATATCGTTAAACGGAACAGGCAATATCGTATCATCCAAAAATTTAAATAAGACGTATTCTCGTGATCATCTGATTCCCTTAAGCATTTATCATTAGCAAATAGCCTATCCCCCTCGGGGCCCATCGCCAGGCCTAGGACGAAACGATCCAGTAGAACCGTTTCTAAGATGGTACCAAAGTTGCAATAACTTGCATGATTTCGTAGTCGCACCGCCCATTCTCCTAATGGCTCGCCTGGGTTTCTTGTCGCTCCATAGATTCTCACTTTGTCTACAAAGGACTGTGTTTTGGCTCAAAGTGCTTATCGAGTAACTCGACCATTTCTGTGTAACTTTGCGATGCTATCTCGCGCATCGCGGGCGGGCACGCAAGGTTACGTAGGAGTCGATAGGTTTCGAGAAGTTTGCTATGAGTATTGATTGCACTTTTATTGTCCTCACTGATGTAATCGACTTTGAAAAATTGCCTCAATTTTCCTTTAAAAATCGAGCACTCACCATTTTTGTAGTCTAAGTTCGGTACACTTTACACACCTCGTCGACAAATGTAGTTTATGCGATTTAAATAAAACGATCGTACTGCCAGAGAATTGATTTATTACTGACTCATTACACAAGACAAAAGGCTGTTAATCACTTTGGACAAGTGTACATAAAAAACATCGCAAACGGAATGTTTCATACCCACCTCATCGATACTGATAATCTGTGACATACCCACGTTGGAAAAGGTCAGTAAGTTGATAGGCATAGATAAGTATATATATATATATATATATATATATATATATATATATATATATATATATATATATATATATATATATATATATATATATGTACCCCGAGAGTTAGCATCCCATCTCCTTTCAATCTGGAAGAATGCGCATTTATCCAACCCCAGCTCCATTCCAACAGAATTACTAAAATTTCAGCTTCCTTGCGTAGATTACGTAACTTTCATCCCATTTTCGCCAAAAGAATGCTTGCCAAGTCCCACCTCTTCCCTATTTTTGACTAGGACTATATACTATGACTGACTATATAGATTACTGATATAAAATATGTATTCTTTTTTTTCACACCAATTTGTCAGCAAACATTTGCTTTTGCCCTGTCATCTTTGTGTAATCCTGTCCATTTATTGGTTGTCTGGATGAAATTGCTATTAGCAATAAGATCGCCCATTGCATACTTCTTTTGTATATATAATCTATAATTTTTGTATGGTATACAATAAAGAATATTAAATAAATAAATGAATTTTTATCAATTCCACAAGATGCGAGTGACTGGAGGCGAATAATTTGAGATCATCCATATAGAAAAGGTAGGTCACTTTTATACCTTCATTTCGAACCTGAAATCCCCTGCCAGAGTTCTTCGGTAAGTTACTAAGAGGGTTTAAGGAGAGGCAAAAGTAGATTTGACTCAAACAGTCACCCCGGAAGCTACCTTTTCTTATCCTTATTCGACTTTCCGCATCCGTCATCCGTTCGCCGTAGATGACAAAGGATTGTATTCTACTGTCCCATATACTGCCCGAGGAAGTTCTTGACTATCCAGTCAACCTTATAAAGCTCGAGGACCCTCTTCAACCAAGTATGGGGTACGCAGTCGAACGTCTTTCTATAGTCTGACCAGGCGAAAGTAGAAATTCCGACGGTTGCGTATAGCCACTTTGCCAATGACCGCGTGAATGACGAGGGTTCTTTGGTTCCACGACCACCATCCTGACTTCTATTTTGAGTATGTGACATCACGCGATTTAAATCCAGGTGACGAATTATTGACGTACTCAAAATGGACGTCAGTGTCTTATATTATACGATGGGTTTACACGTAATGTGGTGGTATTTACTCGGGTCTGTGGAATCCCGATCTTTAGGAACCAAATAAGTGATTCCGGTAGTGAAAAGGATCGGTAGTGAATTTCGGTCGAGAGCCTCTTGAAACTATCGAGCGAGCACAGCGTGACACTTCTCGAACCCCTTCAGCCAGTAGTGATTCAGCTCATTGAGTCCCGGACTTTTTCAGTTCGGGGTCCTACGGACCGCCTCAACAAGGTCTTCGGACGTTATGATGATGGGGTCCATGAGACGTAACACATATTGACTCGCCACTACTTCTCTCTTCTTCTAGCGCTTCGTCGCGCAAGAATGCAACAGTGTCGGCAGGATTCTGTGCTAGGCCTGTTCCACGTACCATTACCATACACATACCTCTTCTAATAACTTTGGAAGAGATGGTTATGGTTGAACCGTGTCAATTTTTGGTATATCGCTGAATCCTCTTTCCCCAAGCAGCGATTTTCTGCTTCAGGCCGTCTATGCGCTCCATCAGTTTTTGCGTAATATCCGGCTGGGACAAACTGAAATTTGCCCCAGCAAACGCCACAATTTTTGGCCTGTTATTGCCTGACCTAAAGCATACCAGTCTGCCGATGAGGGCCCTGGCCTTTGCGATACGTTCCTCATATCTTATTTTGTAGGCTGGGATGGCACTACTTTATCAAGTAGCACGTCCAGTCGTGGGGAGCTTAGCGCCTATAATCCGGCGTACTGCCAGTGCGTCGCCAAAAATAATCGAGTCCGTCTAGCAAAGGTCCCGGCTGTTTTCTATGTTGGTTACCAGCATTAGGTTAAAAGCCCTCACGACAGCCCAATTCCGCCTGCTTAGCGGTATGCGTTGAAGTCCCGGTCGATTTTCAAGAGGAGTACGCATTTTCACAATCGCCTCTTCCTATGAACTCCTCATTTTCTCTAGGTTTGGTTCCTAGGCGACTGTTCCTTCATCGTCTGAATCAACCAAAACTGGGGGATCCATGGCGGCATCCCCGGTAGCATCAACGGGCATCCACGTGTGCGGGTTGCACTACAACTTGTGGCGCCACAATGTCAGCCGTAGTATTTTCGTCCGACGGGGGTATAGCCTCACGTGGTAGCCGTTCGAACTCGATACCGTCAAATATGTTTGAGCGCAAGTTATAAAAAACTGCCACACATCGAACGGTCTGCCAGTTTTGCTTTGTGGCGGTTATAAATGGCTTCAGCTGAGCAAAAGTAGATCCTAGCCCGGAAAGCATAACCTTCAATTTCTCCCCATTTTGCCCTAAAATACGCCCGCAATGCATTGCTATTCATCTTTATTGTCCAACGTATTCGTCGTACTCCACCAGTAGCGTATGCTGATTGATGGGCCCGTGAAGACCTTACCAACACCAAGCCAGCTAGTGGTCCTGCAGCACCCCGTTAAAACCTCGCTGGCGGTACGCATGTTGTCGCGTCCAGTGCCAGCTTCAGATGCGCTCTGGCGACCTCCAAGAAGAGGCCCTTTGCGCGTTCATTTGTGTTCCATCATCCATTTAATGGGCGTCAGTTAACGGGAGACGTCCAGCCTCGGCACCGTTTTATGGTGAGGCCATGTGCAGAAGCAGGCCTTTGCAAGGTGCTGACTGACTGCGCTGACGTAGCCATTTTGTTACAAAACCGTTATACGTCAGCGTTATTATTATTATTATTATCACTTACACTTACAATTCACCTTGAATGTAAGTTTGTTTCACCTGGACTGTAGGTTCGTTTGTCATTTCAGTTTAATAAAAAATAGCAAATTTGAAATAAATGTACACAAAATAAAAATCAGGAGTTTATCGAGGTGTGAAAGCAGAAAATGTGCGCACAATTGAACGATCTCAAATAGCACGCTACGTGAATGAAGACAGAAGATTGGGTGACATTTTTACAAAACCAATTTTGTAAACGGCTCTAATAAAAATATTCAATTTGGAAATTATCCACAAATAGCTATGATAATGATAATGATGATAATGAATTTGTTATAATCCTCCCCCGATAAAACCCGACAAAAAATTGAAACGTTGGCAGAATTGGAACTACTCACCGTGAAATATCCTTCTAGCTCCGCTACTAACGATAACGCATCACAGTCCGCTAATAGAATATCAATAACTGTTAACGCCCCCAAGAAATCATGCCGACACATAAATAATTGAATATAGTAGTATTGATTAAAACTACTTTTACGGATTTTATCGCGTTTTATTTATATTAATTTTAATACCCAACGTTTCGGGTGCTTTCCAGCACCCATGGTCACGGGGGACTGAGGTGACTGACGTCCCGATGTCAAAATTAACCCGGAGTACCTTCAGCTTTTTAATTATTATCTTTGGTCCGATCTACGCAGAATGAACTAACTGTATTTTGAAGTCTTGCAGTGGTATGCTTGGGTTTAGTTTTAATTTTATTAATTATAGGATCCCAAGCAGGAGGTAGCCCAGCCTCCTTCTCTATTGAAATTAGGATGTTTTTTTAATTTCAATAGCCTCACGTATCATCCTAGGTAGGAATCGATGTTCTTTCGCGAGGATTTGTGGTCTATCAAATTTGATGTAATGGTTGGGGCCATCTAGAATATGATCGCAAACTGCAGACTTCCCGGAACGTTGATGCTTCACGTTGAAGCATCAACGTGAAGCATCAACGTTCCGAGCATTAAAAATATCCTAATTTCAATAGAGAAGGAGGCTGGGTACTACCACCTGCTTGGGATCCTATAATTAATAAAATTAAAATTAACCCCAAGCATACCACTGCAAGACTTCAAAATACAGTTAGTTCATTCTGCGTAGATCGGACCAAAGACAATAATTAAAAAGCTGAAGGTACTCCGGGTTATCTTTGACATTGGGACGTCAATCACCTCAGTGACCCCCGTGACCATGGGTGCTGGAAAGCACCCGAAACGTCGGGTATTAAAATTAATATAAATAAAACGCGATAAAATCCGTAAAACTAGTTTTAATCAATGTATAGTGTTCGCGTAAATATAAGAAATCATTATATATTAATATTGTTTTCTATAACTAATTATTATTCCAAAAAAGTAGAGAAAACTAACTTAGACGGAACGCATACACGTCACAAACAATGCTCAAACAATGTTATCAAGGAACATACTACTTCCTGGCGAGAGATTGTCTAATTGCCATGAACGCAAATAAAACGAATTTATTATAATTTTACTACATACCTCCTTTTTATAGATTATTTGTAATGTTTACTTATACGCTGTTTAAAATAATGTTCCGTTTTTACTTTCTTAATTTTGTATTGCAATTAGTATTTTTGTTTTTCTTCTTCTAGTTTTAATATAATATGTATACATAGACTTAGTTAAAAATAATTCCATTACGCTAGTGAGTTGTGCTGAGTTGTTTTTATTTTTATTCATTTACGTTTTATTTTTTTAATTATGGGTTAGGTATATTTTCTCTTTGAAATTCATCAATTTAAAATATTAAGATATTGCTTTATACATTATATTATTAAGTTATTTTTATTATAATTTTATAGTTTTACTTTTTATTTCATTGTCATAATCATGGAAAGTCCATCTGATTTTGATGCTAGTTTTTTCTCGTGTAATCCATCTTCTACCAGTTTCTTAAGCGCGGATGCCGAGTCATCTGAACATCTTGGACTGCATGATCATATTTCTGCTATTTTTTTTCCCTATCCCAATAATTTTAACGTTGCCCATATCAACGCACAAAGTGTTCCTGCCCACTATCCTGACCTTCTTGCATCCATTAGCAGTAATCTAATCGACGCACTTCTTATATCTGAAACTTTTTTCAAGCCTTCTCTCCCTTCTTTTCAGTTTTCACTTCCTGGTTACGTTTTGATACGTAATGATAGGACTGGTAAAGGAGGAGGTGGTGTAGCTATTTACTTGCGTTCTGAAATCCCATACAAACATATCTCTGCTTCCCCGTCAACTTATTCTGAATCTGCTGAGTACCTTTTTCTTGAAGTTTCACTTCATCACACAAAAATCCTTCTTGGTGCGATATACAATCCTAATATGCAAATTAATTATTTTGATGTATTTGAAAATTTACTTACAGACTTCTGTCCTATATATAGTCATGTGATCGTGATGGGAGATTTCAATACGTGCTTACTGAAGCACGATTCACGTGCACATGAGCGGAAGTCTATTGTGTTCTCGCATAACCTACAAATTTTACCCCTCTTTGCCAATTTTTCGCCTTTACTTGACCTTATCATTGTTTCATCTTTCAATAACATTGCAAATCATGGGCAAATAACAGCTTCTTTTTTCGTACCAGGGTCTCATTAACATATCGTACCGTGTTCGTCCACCTAAGCGCAAATCACATTTTCTATTTCTTCGTAGCTTTAAGGGTATTGACTTGGGAGTCATAAGACGTGATGCAAGTAAAATAGATTGGTCCGTAAAAGATTGTCATAATATTGATGATATGGTTAACAATTTTATCGCTTTAATTCTTAGATTGTATGATTGACATGCACCTGTCAAACGTATAAAAATAAAACATTGTCCCCATTGTCCCCATTGTAAAACATTGCGCCCTGGATTACAACGAGATAAAAGACCTTATGGCGCGTAGGGATAAAGCCAGAAGTAGATATAAGCATTGTCCCTTGGAAAGAAATCTAATAAAGTTTAAGAGTCTGCGCAATCGCTGCAATCGTTTGTATAGAGATGCTAAAAGGCGCTACTTTTATGACTCACTTTCAAATTGCGATTCAGCAAAAGCTAGGAGTTTTCTTAAAACAGTCGGCATTGGCAAACACCCTGCGATTGGGACTAGAAATCTTGATATATATTCTCAACCAATATTTTTCTCTTCCACCTGTTTCCTTATCATTATTTATAAAAGCTAAGACCCTGCTAGAATTATCCAGATGCCCATTGCAACATTTCAGCCAGTTTTAAATTGTATCAGTGTCAGAAGATGAAGTAAAACGATCAGTGCTATCTATATCTTCTACTGCAACGGGAAATGAGAAAATTTCTTCCACAATGATAACTATGGTTTTACCTTGTATTCTCCCAGTTCTTACTCACATATTTAATTTTCCATTATCTTTCTCCTGTTTTCTACACTCGTGGAAGTTAGCACAAATTATTCAAATAGCCAAGGTTGCTAACCCTACATTACATTCAGAATTTCGACCTATATCTATATTACCATTCCTCTCTAAAGTACTATAACATATTGTTCACAATCAACTGTCTTCTTATATTAATTCCAACAATATTTTAAGTATATTTCAATCTGGATTCCGGCCCGATCATAATACAGCAATTGCTCTTCTTCAGGTAACTGACGATATCCGTCGAGCCATAGATCAAAAATAATTAACCGTACTCGTTTTATTAGATTTTAGCAGTGCATTTAATTCTGTTGACTTTGATATCCTCTTAAAAATTCTCCAGTCTATTAATGTTTCACCTTCGGCCACTCTCTGGTTTGATTCCTATCTTCGGGGACGCTCATAATGTATCCGTTCCAATGATATTTATTCCAACTGGTGTAATCTTATAACGGGTGTACCCCAGGGTGGCGTCTTGTCTCCTTTGCTCTTTACCGTTTTTATCAATTCTATAACAAAAATAATATCCTCCAACTTCCATCTTTATGCAGACGATTTGCAGCTTTACCGTCACTTTTTGGCATCTGAAGCCAAATTGGCGATAGAAACTCTGAATGATGACTTAAAGAGAATTAGTCATTGGTCTAGATCACATGGTATAACTATAAATCCAAGTAAGTCTCAAGCAATAATAGTAAGTAGCAGATATACTAGTAGCTTAATTGATAAATGCACCCTGCCAGATATGAGTATCAATGGCACATCAATTACTTATACTGAATCTGTGAAGAACTTGAGCTTAATTATTGACAATAGGTTGTCATGGGGTCCTCACATAACAGACTTAAGTAGAAAAGTTTATTATGCTTTCCACTCATTAAAACGTCTTCAAAGTTTTTTACCCTTATCAATGAAAATCTCTCTTGTTCAAACTCTTATTTTGCCTATCTTAGATTACGCTGATGTCCGTTTTGGATGCCACAGAGGAGCAATTAAAAAACTTGAGCGATTGCAAAACCTTTGTTTTCGGTATGTTTTCGGACTCATGAAGTTTGACAACGTCTCTAAATATAGAAAACAACTCAAGTGGCTCCCGATCTGATTTCGCTGCAACACTCGTATCCTTTGTCTCCTTTTTAACATAGCCCAAATTTCCCTACATACCTTCGAAATCGATTTACCC